TTCTTCTTCTTCTTCTTCTTCTTCTTCTTCTTCTTCTTCTTCTTCTTTTTTAAATACAAGGCCTTTGTGCTAACAAGGATATCATTGCCATGTATATGTGAGTTTATGTTGAGGCACTGAAAATGACAAGAGTGTATTTACCATACAATCATGCATAATCTTGTTCCAGTCTTCCCCTGTGACGATTCGGAACAATACAGTAATGGCTTTCCCAGCTGAAGAAAAATTGGCATGCCTAATTTGATAAAACAGAAAGGAGGTTGCATGAGTTGTCATCGTCATGAAGCAGTATGGATAGTCACCACCAAACAGTGGCTTTTGCAAGCTTGGTTGCCAGGTTATTGTTATCAAAGCCTAAAGCCTCTTGCTAGCAGTGTGGCTTCTTGACAAGCCAGCTCTCACAAAGTCACCAGTTTACCGGCTTTCATCTTGAACAACTGCGTGAGCTTTGGTTACGAAGAAGTGATTCCTACCTTTGCTTGGTTATAGAAGAAAACTCAGCCTTTACCAAATAAATCACCTGCAAGCGAGGCATTTGCAGGTGTTTTGTTTTATTAGAACCTTTAAGATGACAACAGCGGATGCTTCCATAATGTGGAAGATGAGCTTCTGAAAATGCTTTTCTTATAGCAGAGTGGTTTTGTAGGTTCTAACTCCCTACACTTTGTTGAAAAAGAAAGTCACCTAAAAACTGCTTTATTCCCAACAAATAACATATAGCACTTCAGAGAAGTACATGGAAATTAGGAGTGGTTATTCCCAACAATGGATAGAATTATAAAACCCTTTTTTGCTTTGTTTTTGCATTTTCTAAGGATTCTAAAATAAACATGCTTCTCTTTGTCAATTTGAAAATGTCATTTAAAATATGTATGCTTTATTTTATTTTCCAACACATTACTACCCCTTTTCACCACCCCAAGTCTTTAATAATCAAGAAACTTAGTTTGTATTCACGATTTTATTATGAAAGAGTTTGATTAGTAAATGAATAGGAAGACAAATACATGCTGACCTGTTAATGTTCTCTCCATATTTCACGGTACCAAAAAGAACAACCCCAGCAAAGGCATAGCACAGTAGCAAGAGGAACATCCCTACGATGATAAAGAAGCTCTTGTACATGCTGACAACCACGGTCAGAAGGAGCATCTTTAATGTCACCTGTGGGTGAGAAAGGGTGCAGTCAGGGCCGATGGAGAGAGCAGGAGAGGAGGGAGAGACAGTTCTAGCTGTGGGGAGGAGCCGGCTGGTGAATAATCTATAAGCAGGTTGACTGTGTAGCAATTCCCAAGTACATCGTTTGAACGTTGTTTCCTGTTAGATATTAAATCTAAATATTATTCAAAAACCATCTGGCATCGAGAAATCTTATTCATACTTCAAACAGTTCAGTCGCTCAAGAGAAATTAATTGAATTAACAACACAAGATTCTTAGTCTTCCACTTCCTCTTCTTTTTCTACCCAGACATCTGTAAGGTCAACACATTTTTGACCTATAGCTAATTTTTTTTCCACTCTATTTAAAATTTTTTTAAAACAAGCCTTTTTATTTTACATACCAACCCCAGTTCCCGTTCTCTCCCCTCCTCCAACTCTCCTCTTCCCCCAACTCCACTCCCCATCCTTTCCTCAGAGAGGATGAGGTCTCCCATGGGGAGTCAACAAAGTCTGTCACATCACTTGAGGCAGCACCAAGCCTCCCCAAGGCTGAGCAAGGTATCCCACCATAGGGAATGGGCTCCAAAAAATTTGTCACCCACAGACATCCTAAAAAGCTAAATGTAATGATTGTTTAATGTCAAGTAACCACCAATGATTAAATCTACCAATTACATGGATATATGAAATCGATATGTGAAACAATGTTAGTAACAAAAGAAGTGATATCCCTTTACAAAAGAGAACACAGGTAATATGTGGTGTGCATAAATGCTAACAAGGAATCTAGAATAATGGAAACATTATCATCAATTATAAATTTTCTGCAATAAAGTTATTTAAAAAACAATAAATTAGGGCACATTAGAAATGACATTGACTTTTGGTTTCAGAGTTAAAGTGTTTTCTTTCATATTTTACTCAGAAAATATGATAAACAAACAGGAAATATAGTCTAAGATAACTAACCTACTGATTTAATGTGATATTTAATATCATTAATCTTGACTTATGAAGTTTAATTCTTTGTTGACCATAACAACCAGGTTGGCTGAGGTCAGTTGGCACCAGTGATTCAATGCTTATGTAACCTTAGAATGGATTCTGCATGACAGACTTACATGCTTTCCACAGATGGAGAAAAATCTAAAGACAATCACACAGGCTCCCATCATGTAGGTGTATGCATTCTGAAATTTAAACAGAAGATAGGCTTTTTTTTACAATTTGCACAAAAGATCTTGTTATGGTTCCATTTTTCATTTTGTCTTCTGTGAAATCTAGTAAATAATTAGTTTAATAAAATGTGAAAATTCCTATAAGAAATTTATCTGAAATAAAGGTGCTGAAAAGGTCACTGCAAAAACTCATGAATAAGTATTAGATTTAAAATCAAATCTCAGGCGAAACTTTGGGTTTTGTTTTGCTTAACCGAATTCTGAATTTTGAAACTCATTTCACATAAAGCAGTGGCCAATCCTTTTGAGGACAGGGCAGGAAATGCACGGGATAGCCTTGCAATGGAAGGAAGTTGAATGAGACAGGAAATAACGGCATAATAAAGAGTGGTCAGATGTTGAAGAGAAGGCTTGAGGGGATTGGAAAAGTAGGTTAGCTGGTAGATGTCTTGCCTAACACATGCAAGGCCCTGGGTTCAATATCCCATGCTGTGTAAAGCCAGAGTAGTAGTGATGTCTATAATCCCAGCACTTGGGAAGCAGAAGCAGAAAGATCAAAATTTTAACATCATCCTTGATTACATAGTGACCTCAAGACCAGCCTGGACTACATGGAACCTTATTCCAACAACAGCAACACTTGAAGACAGCTTTTTCTGAGATCAGTGTTCTTTTTATAAATAGATCCATTTTAGAAAAGTACCCCTTCCCCTCAGCACAAGAGGGCTGCATCAGCTTGCTCTTCAAGTGTATGCTGAGGGTCAGAGACCACTCTGTGCCTTATGATTCACAAGGTTTCTTCTGAGAAACAAAGATGCCACTGGCCACAGCTTAACAACGGTGACATTCAGCTGATGCCAAAGCATGAGCATTCTCCAGGAGCAGCCTCGCCAAACGACAACAGTCCCAGATGGGTCCCTGGGAGGGGGGTCCACTGAGCTCCTTGGTGAGGCAAATGGACAGGAATGTGGGCACGGAGCATCGTTGGATGGAATACAGGGACTGTGCCTTCCTTCTCAGCAGTCTGCTGCAAAATATGGCAAAGAATGATTGCTTTTCTCGGACCAGAGGTTTTTCTCAGGGGAAGAACTAAAGCAGTCAAGCAGAATAGGGAAGGTTTTTTTGTGGCTCAGAACTTCCTCTGTGGGGGATATCTGAGATTAGGAAGCCTACTGTATTCTTCCATTTAGAGTGAGTAGCATTTAGTCAAAAGTTTGTCTAGATAAAGTAAGCACAATCGTAACTTTTATAGATAACCCAGGTTTTTATATTAGAAGTCATGATAACCACAACCCCTGAGATAATGACTGGATGATTTTCACATGGACCCCAAAGTCCTGAAAAAACTAAGTTTCCATTTGTTCAAATCTCGTGCTATATTATATGCTCTGGTTCCTTCTTCTTCAGCGACAAGACCTCACCTTTGTCCAGTCCCTGGACCCTTTGATCCTAGCCAAGGGCATCTGAAATGTTTTGTAGATGGAGTCTAGTCCTTTGGGGGAACGCCTTCCAGGTCCTCTTTGATAAAGCTGCTTCCTACTCCTCACGGTTGTCATGGGAACATGGGATTTCCTTCATCTTTTCCAGTGTACCCATGGTTTTCCCTGGTTCGTGAGCACATGGTGAAGGTCTCTCTAGATTTCTAGGCTGTGAAGTTTGTGAGAGCAGTGAATTTGTTTGTTTTGTTAATTTCTTTCTTCTTAAGTGCCCTATAGTACTCTTCTCATCATTACATCCAAGGCCATTTATTATTTGAGAGGGTGGATACAGGTATTTGAGAACCTAAACAAATTGTAATGTCAAAGGCAACTACTGGTTTAAAAAGGCCACTCAGCATGCTTATGAATATCGCAGATCCAAACTAAGGCAAGCTCCTTCTGATAAGCAAATGGACGCCATGAGTACTCATACTTTCTGTCAGTCCTCTAATGTTAAAGAGGGTGGGAGAATGTGGGACCCTGATAACACTTATCACTGGGTCTGTAGAAGACTAATGAAAAGATGGTACTTAAAATTTATGCCTTATGGGCTACTATGATGTTTAGAGAAGTGGTTCTCAATGTAAGGGTCCCAACCCCTTTGACAAACCTTCCTCCAAAAAAATTCACACTATAACTCATAAAAGTGGCAAAATTACAATTACAAAGTAGCAAAAAGAATAATGTTATGGTTGGTAGTCATAGCATGAGAAACTGTATTAAAGGGTCTCGGCATTAGGAAAGTTGGAAACCACTGTCTTAGAGTGTACAGTGCGAGCCACCATCACATCAGTGACCATATTTTATTTTCATTGGACACCACTACTGTAGACTAGACAAGTTTTTCCATGACTGTGGATTTGAGGGACTGGACCTCAGACATGTGGCTATTGATGGATTCAGAAAATTGGTATGAGAAAATTGGGAGAGAAGAGTGCCTTGAGTACATAGGTTACATTATAAGAAGTCTTGCTTGTATTGGGGTGGCACGGATGCTTCTCTGTCTCAGAGTGCAAGGTCTGAGTCTTCAGATTCTAGCCCTTTAGATCTGCACACAATAGGTCTTTGAAGATCCAGGATTTGCCTATGTCGGAAGTGTAGGTGTGTGCACATATACATATTTGTGTGTGTGTGTGTGTGTGTGTGTGTGTGTGTGCACATGCAATTTGCAAGCATGTCCCGGGGCATTCATGACCAAAGCCTGGATTTAGGAATTTGGTCTAATGCCCAAGAGGAGCGAATGTGGAATGAAGGGACCGGAAACAGCCCTGACCTAAGGAAAACTGAAGAATCAGTGAAAATAAAGTTCAAAGATGTGCCTACCAGCAGAGCAAAGTGAAGCACCACCCACACGACACCAAGAGATGTCACCAACAGATCATATCTGTTTCTCCTGCTCTGCCAGAACCCAGCTGGTGACATTGCTATGATCTTCATGGTAACCTAGAGAAAGCAAGAAAGGAGGACACAGGGCAAGTTCTTAGACATGTTTAAATCAATTAGTTAGACATGTTAGATATAATTAAGGACATAGTTAATGAGAGAGTTAGTCATAAAGATACATTTTTTTAAAAAGCCAAGCAAGCACAAAGATACTTTTTTTTTTTAAAGCCAAGCAGGCTGCTTATCTATTCTCTATACTCGTTCCCCTGGATTAATGACTAAGTACTCATTGCAGGCTATTTTTCTACCTTGAGTGAAGAACTGTATTTTGGGAAACAGCAGCCAGTTTACAGAAAATGATAATCCACTTGCCTTTCAAAGAAGATTGACTGGCAAATAGATGTGACCCAGGGAAAACACTTTAGATAATAGTGGCCCCATTTCTGTTTAAATCTGTGCTGTAATCTGAATCCCTGATTAACAGTGCCTTGTGTCCTGTGCTCCAAACAGGCAAACCCCGTTAGTGGGCAGGCCAGTGCTCAGCTACAACAATTAGCAGGAATGTCTCAGCAGTAGACACACTGGAAACATAAAGTGGAATTTACTGAAGCAGCACAGCCAGAGAGGAGATGCCCATGCAATCCACCCCTTAAAGGTTTCAAAAACGAGAACAGAGTTGGAAGTAGATGCCATCAAAATGGGGTACTGTTTTCGTTTTTATTGTTCGCAGCTTTCCCCAGAGCAGCAGGCTCATCACTGTACCTCTAACACAAAGATGAAGGTGAAGACAACTGACATTGTTGCCAAAGGAACGGTCACAGGATCCTCGACGTCCCACTGCAACCAGAGTACAAGTTACTGCAGCATCCACCAGGCAGACTTTTCCCTCTCTGCTCCCCATCTTAGCACACACACCAAATTTTACGTTTACTAAAGGTCAGAGGCTGCAAATGGCAAAGCCCAAGCAATGCTGCAATAACACCTGAGGTGTGAAATCCACTCCAGAAGTCTCAGGGTGAAACAATACCTTGACCGATAGCAACACAGACTGGGCCAGAACCAGCAACGCGATTGTCCTCTTAAAAAATGGATGCTGGGTTATGTCATACATTTTAGCTCGGAAACCATCATTATCTGAAAAAGAAAAGTATAGGCGAGGGCGCTTTAGACATAGGTCAGATTTGCTTCCTTGTCTTTCATATTCTTCAGTGTTCATCTTCAAACCCATTACAGCCTTCCCCTCCAGTCTATCTATTGTGAGTGGTTTGGAGGAATGGCTGGCACTTGTTATTAAAACGACAGCACACAGTAACATCCATATTGGAAGGAGAAATGCATCATTCAATTTCTGTTGGCTTAATTCATTTCCCTCATATTTCTAAAAGGCAAGCACAAATGTATTTTATTTAAAAATTCGGTTTTTTTCCATTAAGGCTTATTCAGGGAGCACTGAAGCTCAGCCTTTAGGTGGCTGATTTTAAAAGCCTTATGGAGAGATCAGCAGTTTGGAGTCTGTTTCTATATTAACTTATGCACAACCCCCTAGTGGCCTCACGATTATTATTTTAATTTAAATCCGAGGCTCTTAGGGAATCAGGAACACCAGTGCCCAACATGAATAAAATCAGAGCATCTTTGATACCGGGCCGAGGTGGGAGATGAAGAGGTTGTGCGATCTTCAGTCTGCTCTTGAGATCTTCCCATCTTCTCTGATCTACTGTCAGCAAAGCCGTCCCCTTGGAAACAAAGGAGACAGTGGAGGGAGAGGAAAGGACCAATATGGAGACCAGACAGAAAGACAGTCTGCAAAAACCATGGCGGCTGAAGAAATTTGGTCAGAACTAGCAACCCACACTGAGAGGCATTCCCAATATAGATGGGTGCATGACAGGGACATTCAGCAGCCTCAAGCGTGTGTCATTGAAAACCTGTAACATTTGGGCTTGAGGAAGGGTTAAGAATGTTTTCTTCATAATTACATTCTCCAGAAAGAATAGTAACAAACTGGGGCTAGTTTGGTTTTGTAGTAGCCAATCACAGGTTGTCTGCTGTGCTGCTGCCGGACAAGATCATTTGTCCCTTACACATTTTTTTTAAACACTCCAGTATGTGCAATTGTAAGACTATTTATAGGATATAAGAACCATAGAATTTTCCTTTTTCAGAAATGAATGCTATGATAATTTGCTAGATGGGATCAGATATCCTGTGCTATAAAGTGGAGTACTTGATAAAAATGCACATAAATTATATTGCATTGTATTATTCCACATTAGATTTTATTATACTGCATTATGGAGACATAAGTATAATTTAAGACACTAGGACTGGGGGAATGTCAACCCTTTCTCCATTTCCTTCTGAAGAGATAATGACTGTCCTTACAGGGAATACTCTTCTATCTTGGTTTTCAGAAATGTGAGCTTTCTGACTGTAGAAATAAACAAGAACAAATTTGTTTAGAATTTTTAAGTTGGTATAAATTGTATCCATTCTGTCTTTCTTTGTCTTTAAAATAAGTCTTATTAATACATTTATTATTTATTTCTTTGTGTGTATGTGTGTGTGTGCTTGTGCATGCATGTTTTCTTCACATATGCAACAGCACATTTTTAGAGGTCAGAAACATTGCAATGTTTGTTGTCTCTTTCTACCATGTGGATTCTGGGAATTGAACTGGGATCATCACTTGTTGGGAAGCGTCTTCACTACAGTTATCTCGCTTGCTCATGTTTTTTAAAATATTTATTTATTTTATTTATGTGTTTTGCCTGTATGTTGCATTTACATAAAACAAGTGTGTGCATTTCCCATAAGGTTCAGAATGTTTGAATCCCCTGATACTGGAGTTACACATGCACACACACACACACACGCACACGCACACACACACACGCGCACGCACATGCACACACACACACACAAGCGCACGCACACACACACACGCACACACACACGCACACACACACACACACACACACACAACCTTTCCTCTCCAACCAACAAAACCAGTTTGTGACATCTGGTAAAATGGCTGCTGACTTCTGCCTCCCTCTTGGCATCTGTTTGGACTGACACACCACGCTCCCAAACAAGCTGTCACTCTCTGACTCTTTTAGGACATAACTACGGTGTTGGAGGCAAACAATCCTCAGTAATTTACAGCTGTTTCAATACTGACAGTTAATTATACAGCTTCTTCCTGTTATTGAGCACTATAGGCTGGATCACTTACTGCAACTGACTTGTGAGCTACCCTGGAGCCCAGGCCTCTTGCACCGGACCCCTGCACAGGGGCCTGTATACCATCCTGGACTGGAAGTGTCTCGTCTCTCTAGTAACAGGCTGATTAGCTTCTTCTTATATTCTAGAATTCCCAGTGTCAGCTCCACCACATGTCTCAAAGGCATTTAAAAAGACACATCTTTCTCATTCTGTCTGACATTAAACTGAACACACTGAAGGGTTAGAGTGTCTCATTTCTGAGTGTGTTAGGAAGTAAAAGAGAGGGGCTGGGTAGCATGATTGCTACTGCTATAAGAGCCATGATTCTGAGAGTTGGAGTAGTATTGGGGTCCAAAGGGGGATTTTTAAGTTGTAGTCTTTGAAAGGCTGAATGAAGTGAAATGCTCATTAGGCACACATCAAAGGTGGCAATTGACTGAGTCCATGGTACCACACACGTTGAGCCTGGGGACAGTGAATGATAGAGTCTCACATGTAGCTACACAAACCAAAGAGCTCTGGCTCGAAGGCATGGGAATCAGTCATCGCTGAGCACAACTGAACAGCGGGTGCTTCACAGGCAAATGGAGCTTTGCAGTTTAGAGATTTTTATGCTCTTGCACTCGAAGAATTACAGACCCTGCAGTTGTAGGAAAATGTCTGAAACTGGGCCCAAGTGTTTACTCCATACAGTGGTGGCTTTCTCATCCACACGTTGCAGCATTTTGAGATCTGGCAGAAGCTTTTTCTGTCCAGTGAGTGCTCAAAGCCTGGATACATTTCAATGTGATTCCTCTCTCAGGAAAACATAGCCAAGGGACACTCATAGAATGTTTTTCCTTGAACTTGTGCTCCATAGGAAACCATTGCTGTCTTCCTATCAATGATCCTATATCCATCATGACAGCTCTTAAGACTGAGAGTTCTCCCTGAGTTCAGGAAGTATGTAAAGTTTATATAGATTTTTAAAAAATCTTTTTTAGTCTATTACTTGACCTTTACATTTTATATGGCTTCTACCTACCTTATCAAAACTCTGAGTTTGCTCACTGAGTAAGGAAGAAACACACAATTTGCATTTTTGTTAGGGCAATATGGACTGCACTCAGAGCATCACTTCAAGGTATCACATTTTAGTAACCCACTGCATCCTTCCCATCTGAACAGGAGATGGGTTTCTCAACTGTGGGAGAATTACTGCCACCATAGGATAAATCTATTAAGAGACTTATTTTCCTAAGTAATGGACCCAAACCGCAGCAGTGATGTGGTTTGTAAAAGAGTTATACAGGTTAGTTACATGAGTTACATTTCAATTTAATGTGGCTCCATGCTGTGTATGAAAAAAATATCAGCTTAAAGCAAGAGCAAGAACAAAAATTAAGTCTGTGCTATTAACCTGAGAAGGCTTACCTTGTTTTCATTGAAGTTAGCAATAACTACACCAACAAAAAGTGTCAGTCCAATCATGCAACCCAGGAATACAAAAACGTGAATATAGATTCCATGGATCTGTGTAAATTAAAAAGTTTTTAAAATATTAGAGAGTTTTGATATGATAATGGTGTTATACATTTCAATGCAGTATTGTTTAATGATTTATTGAACTATACATTTTTTCCTGCTCCCTTCCTTCCTCTCCCCTCCCATTCTACCTTCCCCATGATCCCCATGCTTCCAATTTACTCAGACCATCTTGTCTTTTTCTACTTCCCATGTAGATTAGATCCATGTATGTCTCTCTTAGGGTCCTCATTGTTGTCGAGGTTGTTTGTGAATTTAAGTTGGTTTTCTTTGCTTTATGCCTGAAAGCCACTTATGAGTGAGTAATATGATATGTGTCTTTCTGGGTCTGAGTTAACTCAATATGATGCTTTCTAGATCCATCCATTTGCCCACAGATTTCAAGATGTCATTATTTTTTTCTACTGTGTAGTACTCCATTATGTATCAGAGCCAGTGAGAACCACTCTGGGTGTACTTAGAGAATTACGTGGTCTTGCTTACCGGTCCCACACGATGAATAATGACATCCCTCACTTCTACCCAGCCTTTCAAGGACAGAACTTCGAACAATGCCAGCATGGCATTTCCCACGTTGTCAAAGTTAAAGTTCCGAGGATTTGCCCTGAAATTAGGAAAGAGGGATGCGGGATGAAGGTCCAGTGCACAGCCAACAGGCTGGTACCTATAACGCTTTCTAATTCTGAGTGAAGAGTCTTTAACCTGGGGGAAGTTGGCTTAGCAGCATTCCTTTGCTAAGTTATGGCAATGTGTTTGTACACTCTCAATATCAATCAGTGATTCACGATTCCTTAAACACTTAGCCCATCAGTCTTTATTTTCTTTGTGGGGAAGGGATGCCCAAATCTATGTTTTCTAATAATTTGTACTTTTTGCTTTTCAGTTGTGAAACTGTTTCTTTTCATTACCTTGTGGGTCTTAGTTAACATATTCTCATTGTGAGTAGAATACATTTTCAGAGTTTTCATTATATTTTCTTTATGAGAGGCTATTCTAAATAGTTAAAAGAATGAAATGACTTTAATAAATGAAAAGATTTTAATGACTGCTGCACACTCTGAGGTTGATGGAGCACACAGCTCTGAGCTGTTGAGTGCTGTCATTCCAGTGCCTCTTTCTGTACTATGTTTTCATCAGTCTTTCCCATGCTACCTCATCTATCAGAATCTACCTTTCCTGAAGTCAGCCCTCTAGAGAGGCATTTAGTTCAATATTTTCAGACATCTTTTATGCATTCTTAACCGTAGGAATAATTATGAGATGTGTCTTTATAATACGTGGGGATCTAATGAGAAAGCCAAAACTACAGCTGACTTGGTCCTTAGAGCTTGAGACTGGTTGTCAGACACATTCAGTACCAACGTAGGAGCACCACTGAGATATTCATACTTTAAAATTCTGATTTCTATTTTTGCATGAAAGCACAAATATTCCAACTTGGATTTTTGCAACCATCTTTCCCCGGGGAGAGTATCAATTGCATTTCCCATCTTAGAGTAGAAAGAGCTGGTAAGGACTAGGCACACCCAAGGTTTGCTTGCATAAGAACTGAAAAAAAAAATAAAATCAAGGGCGCCAACCCTCAGATCTCATGTCAGTCTTTCTTACTCATCTGTTTTCTTTATGTGAAAAGTGCTTTTGAGCTAAATTTGCAGCAACTTAAACTGCTTTCATGACCCACATATTTTAGAAGTTAGAAAATGCTAAGAAAATATTTTTAGGATAAATCAAGAAAAACAAGGCACACAAGTTGAAAGAATATGACACATTTTGGAAAATAAGTCTTTTTCAGTTTAATCATATGAAGTATTTGTTTATGCTGTGCTATCAAAATTGCCAAGTTTGAAATTTGACCTGTAACTCCAGAGGGCTTCAGTAAGTCTCAAACATAAACCATTATCGTCATTTCATAATCTGCTATCATTTGAATTGTAAGGATGTTTAAAACATCTTTTCTGGTTTTTTTTTTTAAATTTGCAGTCTTACCTATCCAAGTCATAAAACTTAGACTGGTTCTGAACTGAGAATTTGGTCATTCTTTTGCATCCTGAAGAACATGATCCAGGGCCCCTGAGATCATGATAAAGCTTATGGATCCTGCTCTGAGGAAGATGGAAAACGTGACCTACTCTGCCTCTGGTCTCTCCCAGTTGTTCCATATCTTCCTGCATCTGGCTCCTCCTTCTTTCCCACCTACCCCGGCCCTTCTCCTTTCCCTAGTCACCTGTCTCTGGTCTTTCCCCCTTCTTTACCCACCTGTCTGTGATCTTTCTTCCTCCTCCCTACCAACCTACTCCTGACTCCTTCCTATTCCCTACCCTCCGTTATCCTTCTCCTTGCCAGTCCCTTTTTTTCCCTACTTGCCTGCCCTGGTCCCTTACATTTTCCCTACCATCTGTCATTTAGAAAGTTAGTGTGCTTTCTCCTGTGACCTTTTGGTCTGGAATGAGGCCTTTGGGCTAGGGTCTCTCCTGTGACCCTTTGGTCTGGAATGAGGTATTTGGGCTAGGGTCTCTCCTGTGACC